GCCCACTGGGACTGTAGTGCCAAGGGAAGAAAAATAGACAGTGGAGTATGTTAAAAACTAAAGCACGTACCTACCCATGCTTAATTCATTAAGCACTATGCCACGAAGATGTTGGGGTGTGGAGTTATGGCTTCNTGTACCGACTAAACTACCGTGGCTCCTAGCAGCAAAATGGTTACAGAATTATATGTTAAACGCAGTTTTCTTTTATCGTTCATCTTTATGCTGTCACTAATAAGTTTGCCCTGTAAAAGAAGGAAATTATTATTATTATTATTATTATTATTATTATTATTATTATTATTATAAATAAAATAAAGAATTGAACTGAATCATCCTCGTCATCATTATCACCACGAAACAATCACGAACATATTTTTAGAATTCTTATATGTGAGCATCCTTATAATTTTGCCTGTGGTTCTGTATGGGTGTGAAACTTGATCTCTGACATTAAGGTAGGAACATAGACTGAGGATGTTTGAGAACAGGGTGTTGAAGAGAATACGTGTACTTGGACCAAAGAGAGATGAAGTCACAGGAGGTTGGAGAAAACTGCACAATGAGGAGCTTCATAACTTGTACTCTTCTTCAAATATAATTAGAATGATCAAGTCAAGGAGGATGAGGTGGGCAGGTCATGTAGCACGAATGGGGGAGACGAGGAATGCGTATAGGATATTGGTGGGAAAGCCAGAAGGAAAGAGACCACAGGGAAGACCAAGACGTAGGTGGGTGGACAATATCAAAATGGATCTTAGAGCGATAGGATGGAATGGTATGGATTGGATAGATTTGGCTCAGGATAGGGACCAGTGGAGGTGTCTTGTGAACACGGTGATGAACCTTCGGGTTCCATAAAATGCTGGGAAATTCTTGAGTAGCTGCAGAATTGGCGGCTCCTCAAGAAGGGCTCAGCTCCATGAGTAAGTAAGTAAGATATGTGAGCATCAACTCATGTGCATGCTGGTTAGAATGTTTCCGCTGTAGCTCTGCGAGTCGCAAAAGCCGACGAATTGGGCCACCCTGTCACTGGCGGACAGAAACACAGAAACCTGGTCTTCCTGGTTGGGGGTTTGGACGCAAGGCTGATGACCTTGCTCTGTATAAAATTATTGTTCTGAATCCAAAGAAGTGAAACCGGACGGTATAATTCACGACATACAGCAGAGGACAGGCAACTCTGGCAGTATCTTCTAGGGAAGGCTATGACTCCAAAAGGGTTGTTTTGGCAATGATGATGATGATGATGATAACGGTGGTGGTGGTGGTGATGATGATAATGATAATGATGATGTGTGGCCTTGACCAAAATCCCCGAAGTCAAGAAGATTGTCAACAAGTGTTTTTGCATCCTGTTGGGAATTACAATGAACATATATATATATTTTACCGTCAACGTAACAATACTTTATTATTTATTTATATAGCACACACTACATGTTTCGACATCAAACGGGTCATCTTCAGATACTGCAAGTTTCTCACATACCATTACCGAACTTTAACACTAATATTCCCATTTTTATAAACGGTTCGTACAAGTTAGTTTCTATTCAATTCACCAGCTAGACAAATCTAGACTAGACATTCATTAAAGTTAAGAATAAAATAACCTCAAACGAAATAGCTTACTGTAGTATGAACCAAGCGGCGCGATGAACCGCATAATATAAATAACACACATTAACCATTGGCTCCTGACAACATGAAAGGTGAGGGATCTATTCTCTAGGAAAATGGTAATATTACGATACTAACACGGCGAGCCAATGCAGCAAACAATAGAAGAAATTTGACAAAGCCTATGAGTGGTCTACAGCAGTAATAAACACGAAGCTACTCACAGCTTATAACATTTTGAAAGATCATTTTAAAATCATTTTTAAATATCAAATTGTGGATCTAGGTCATATAATTGTTAAAGCAGGTTTATCCCATTGTCGCGTATGCGAGTTTATGATATGTACGTTTTTTTTTCTTGTTGTATATTATTTTAGTGTTAATTTTAACCAATGTCTAGTCTCTATTTGTCTGGTTTGTGAATTGAATAGAAACTGACTTGTACGAACCATTTATAAAAATGGGAATGTTAGCGTTACAGCTCGGTAATGGTATGTGAGAAACTTGCAGTATTTGTTACGTTCAATAAAATGGCGCGTTTCTAATGCAAACGTGAAGAAATAATGAGATGCTACCTACAGTTTCTACTATTCGAAGTAGGGGTCATTCTACGACAGTAACGCCCTTACGTGAACGAAGAATGTTACATATTAGCAAGAGTACATTAGTCAGATCGGACACTGGAAGTCCATAAAGTTTTGTTTCTATTTTGAAAAAATAAATGTATATACAATAAAGGCCTAAGCAATTCCCATCCTCCCCTCTGTAACACAGTCTTATAAACATCTTATTCTACCATAGCGGTCGCCCAGTGAACATGTCTCTTAACATTACTGTAAGAGCATACTATTAATATTTTGTACATTTTTGTATTTTTATTATTCTTAGTTGGGTGAGACTGAGCCCACTTGGTACTGCTACCACTACTGGCCTATTGTATCCAGATGATAGACGATAGCGACTGTGGAGCAATTGGTGGAATGAAGATTGGCGGGGTAAACAGAAGTACTTGAGAAAATCTGCCCCAATGCCACTTTGCCAATTTTGTACGTTTACGTCTTTTCTAAAAATAAATTTAGGAATTTTGTTTGTGAAGCAAGAGACGCCTTGCAAAGATTTTTTTTCCTCTAGCCTTAAGAACTCCGTAACTGATTTGGGTATTCTTTTTTTCTGTTCTCAGAAAAAAGTCCATCATTGTTGTCCTTTGACCCTCGTACAGTTTACAATCCCAGAAGATATGCCCCTCCGTTTGCAGCCCGGCACTACATTCGCATTCAGCCATGGACATAATGTCATATCTACTTAAGCTTGCTTTAAGACGGGAGTTGCCTTCTCTCATACGGTTTAATGACACGTAGGCACGACGGTTCAACTTCATTTCGCGGAACCACGGGGACGAGCCATAGCTGTAGTACCTTTTAAAGTAGTATTATCCTCTGTACCCTTTGGTGTTTTGACAGAAACTGAAGCTTCTCTTTGCCTTTCTTTTTCCACTGGTCTTTAAGAGCTGCCACTAGTAATAGGTAAAGTTGTCCCTGTGTTCAGCGAATTAAGCACTACGCCATGAAGGCGTATGGGGGATTGGATGTATAGATCAATATTAAGTAGTAGTACTGAATATCTCTAATAATTAACTTAACAATGACAGAAACAATCAATCAAGTTAAAATCCAGAACCAGTTAAGAATGCTTTAAGACAAATCAAGGATTAAAACATGGCGATAGCTTGGCACCATCACTATTTAATTTGGTATTGGAATATATAGTGAGGAAATGTAATGTAGACACAAGGAACACAGTAGCGTATAAACAAATGCAAATAATGGCGTATGCGGATGATATTATTATAGTATCGGGATCCCAAACAGCAATGAAGGAGACATATAAAGAAATAAAAACCATAGCAAAAACAACTGGCTTAGAGGTGACTGTAAATAAAACTAAAATGCTGATACACTCCAGAAGGAATCCAAGGCAAACTGGAGAAATTAACACGGAAGGGGACGGGATAGAAATAGCTGAAGACTTCATATATTTAGGATCGAAATTCCACAAAGATGGAGAGGAACATCATGAAATAACAAGAAGAATAAAACTAGTGAATAATGCATATTTCTCGTTACTATCAGTTTTTACATCAAAGGAGATACACCGAGCGATTAAAACAAAAATATATAAAACAACGATAAGACCGGTGCTTTATTATGGATGTGAGGGTTGGACGCTAAACAAGAAAGAGGAATCAGTCATCAATTCATTCGAGAGGAAAATCCTAAGACGAATTTATGGACCAATAAAAGAGAATGGGATATGGAGAATAAGATATAATAAAGAGTTATACAAATTATACAAGGCGCCAGAGATCTCAGTGACGATAAAGCTAAAAGATTGCAATGGGCTGGGCATGTACAGAGAATGGATAAGGAGCGTATCCCAAAGAAAATATTATACAGTACAACAGGCGGCAGGAGACATGCTGAGAAACCAAGAACTAGATGGATTGATGATGTGGCAGGAGATGCGAAGAAGTGAATGGGTGTAAGGAACAGGAAGAGAGCGGCGCAGGATACAGAGGAATGGAGAGGCTTGATAAGGGAGGCCAAGGCCCGACATCGGGCTGTTGCGCCATAGAAGAAGAAGCTTAATATCTCTACCTAATTTCATTGATTTCTTTGCCTCCGAGTCAGCCCTCTCATTTACGCCAACTCAGCAGTGTCCCGGGATCCAGTAAAATTAGATCCCCCCCCCCCTCTTACGATTCCAGTGTTTCTGTTTTGTCTTTAAACATCTGAGTAATGTGCGATGTGTTGTTCTTTGTAGAAGTGTTACTGACTCCTTTTAGAACGCTTTCCGAGTCCGAGAAAATCACGAAATTTTACTCCGAGTCTATTTTTTCGATTATTTATAATGTTTCACCATTTGCTAGTGCTTCCGCTGTGAATGTGGGAACTATTTTAGATGTCCTGAATTTCCAGCTAATACCATCTCCACTCCCCCATACGTCTTCATGGCGAAGTCCTTAACATGTCCTTAATTAGTTAAGCACATGGACGATTTTACGTACCCTACCTTTTTACCGTCACATTATCTATCTATCTACGTACGGTTTTGGTCTCAATTTTTGAGCCGTCCGTGGCGAAACATTTACTGGTTCCAATTTTTTAACGGAAATTATTTTTTGAATTGTAATTAACTGCTTCATTTATTTGTCTTCTCTCATGGAAAGATATTTTTTAAATAAATGAATACACGAAAATGGCCTAGGCAATGAATGACGTAGGTAGTGACATCTTCTCCTGCGGATAAGTACTACAAGACGTATCCACAACCTATGTAGTAATCCACATTGAAAAGAGATGCCGCGACATCGCATATGGAATAACAATACAAAAGAAAAAGTCAAATCAGCTGGTTGGGAGTGTATTGTTTACATATCACGTTTGGACTTGTGGGCTTATTATGACTCTGAGATATGTATGATGTGTATGATAGCTTTTGGATATCCGTAACGTCTTCTGAATGAATATTTTACAAGAAGTGTTATAGCACTGTGTAATTTGGATGCCATAATTTTGTCAAGTGTAAAATATAAGTTTTCGGAGCCCCAACATGTCGACTTCAAAACCCCTGTCACTCTGTGAATGGTAAATGAAAGATATGCATAGTAGTAGTATGTGAGCTGGCCAATTACAGCTGAATTGGGCCGATTTTGTGTTCTGATTTGCTCTAAAATTTTTATTAGGTCATGCCAGATATATGACTACCCTGCGAATCGGCAGAAGAGACAGTTGTCGTGGGAAGAAGTGTCAGACCATCCCCTGAAGCCTTTAGTGGTTACGGTAACCTTGTTTTTATTTTGTTTTTATAACGGGTGTAATGCAATGGAAATCTATGCTAGTGGAAATTACATTGATCATGAATTGTGTCATTATTAATGTATATTTCTTGCCAACTTCATGGTACAGATGTGAAGGAAAGTGGACTAATTTTGGTTTCAGTAAAACAGTTTCACCTGAGAATCATTGATTTAGAATTTGAACAAGATAATGAGGGATTTTACAGGAAAATGTCACCTTTTTGAACATTTTGCAATATATTATATTTATTTATTTTGAAGAGTCAGAGCTGATTACCATGAAAACATTCAGGTTTCGTTGGAAAACTGTAATATATTGCTGTGCATACTGGTACTCAAAGTATAACTCACCTGTGGTGTAGGTAATAGAGAGTCGTGTTACCAGACGGACCCTTGGAGGAAGTACTACCAGTAGTACGGGATCCTCTACACCAACACCAACACTGGAGTCACTGGCAGCTGCTCTTGAAGGCACAGATCCCCTAACCCATTTTGCACGCCAGGAAATGGACCCTCTTTCCAAGATGGCTGCTGACATGGTTAGTACCTGAAATTTCAGAACTATTGTAAGTGTAATGAAAGCAAATTAAACTTTTCTGAAACATCTTTGAGAAAAACTCATATCTCGAGTAGATAACATCATTGAAGAGCGAGTGAGACCTCCGGTTTTATCCCCATCATATGCTGAAAATAGAATCTGATAATATTCTGATGATAATATAATGATGTATAACACTATTTGATGATGATATACCCTCAGAGATAATATTATAGGTGTGGTGTACTGTGTATCTGTTTGCTGCTAACAGTGGGAGCCAGTACCAACTGACCAAAGAAAGAGCAAAGACGCTTTACTGGATGATGTTATTGAGCCATGGGCTACCAGAAAGTCTGCCATATTGAACAAGTTCACCACTTCAGAAAAATTATCAATTGTCACAAGTTTTCTGTCAGGAGGGGAGAAAGGTATACAACTTACATTGAATATAAGTTGTTTCAAATAATTTGTTGCATCTTATGTGTGGTTGGAGTTTTCACAGGTTTCTCTCAGTTGTAACACATTTGGTTTATTCAGGAGTTGATCTGTTCAAATTCTGGATTGGGCCATTATTCTTACTCAGGTTTTTCATTATTTTCCTGTCACATGAGGCAAATAGAGGTTATGGATATATTTTTACATTTCTCCATTCACCTTATAATGTCAACCACACAGTTTAATTGATTCTGCATAACATCTGCAATTGATAAATTGTAGTTAAGTAATCATTTCACTTGCTGCCATTGAAGGAACTAAGATACAAAGTAATTATGCATTTATGTTTGCACAGGTAACTATGACAAGGGTTGCCTATCTACAAGACATATATAGTCAGAGTACTGTCATGCAACTTGCAGCATTCAGTTCCTTGTTCACAGACCACTCAGTATGTAATGTATGTATGAGTATGAGGGGTGAGCCATAAAACTGTCCCTAGCACTGTGACTTTCAATGATCTACTGTGCGTGACCACTCAGTATAGTTTCTGTTGTAGATCCTTTTTAATTTTAAATTTTCTTCAAAATTAGGCCTATGAAGTGTAATGAAATATTGAGTTGTATATTGCATTCATTACTTTCTATGACCTTGTGGTCCTTTTTAACAGGCTTCGTAAGCCTGAATATCATTGCATATTTAAACATGACAAAAATAAATTGGTTTTATGGTATTCAGTAATATTGATTGCTCGTGTAACTGTTCTAGTTGTGGTGAAAGCACAAAGCTCTGTTGTGGATAAAGTAAAGAATCGACTGGAACAGTTAGATGACTTTGAAGAAGGGTCTGTCCGTCAAATGATGGATCTGACTCAGCAAGAATACATGCATCGCATTGAACAGCTTAACCAGGAATTGGTTCAAGCGTGGAATCATGACCAGCGAGTCAAAGCATTGAAGATAGCTATTCAGTGTTCGAAACTTCTTGTAGATACTTCTGTGATTCAGTTCTATCCAAGTAAATTTGTCCTCATCACTGATATCCTTGATATCTTTGGGAAGCTGGTTTATGACCGCCTTCGTACAAAGGCTGAGTACTATATGTAAGTATTTATAGGCCTGTATATATACTGTACATATATATATGTTTGCTTAGCAGTTATAGGACTTAATTTAATAAATGATACACACTCCGTCCTAAGTGCAAACAATATATATTATATGTCTTTGATCTTGTTCTCTTCTACACTACATGTTTCGGCCTCTATCGGCCATCATCAGGTGTATACTCTTAACGTTGCTGCCACACTGAAACCCAGTCTAAAATTTAACATTTAAAAAACACATTGTTATTTTCTTCGTATTATCAACATCTACCTCGTTGATATGTGTCTGGTATGTAGATTATATAGACTGGGTTTCAGTGTGGCAGCAACGTTAAGAGTATACACCTGATGATGGCCGATAGAGGCCGAAACATGTAGTGTAGAAGAGAACAAGATCAAAGGCATATAATATATATTGTTTGCACTTAGGACAGAGTGTGTATCATTTATCGTGTAGAGTGCAACAGGATGCTGAGATATAATATTGTAGGACTTAATTTATTAAGCACAGTATTATATTGTACTCCAAAAACAGCATAAAATATGAAACCAGAGGAAGAAGGTCTTGGAAAGACCTAAAAAATGATGAAAGGATTCTGTATTGTAACATCTGTAACAGGCCAGTTGAGTTTAATACTTGGAAGGTTGATGATAGTGGATGTTTTAGTTAATGAAGATCGAAGTGTGTGTTGAATTGTGTCATATTAACCAGTCATGTTTATAGCCCAGGAAGCAAGACCCCAACATCACTACCTGAGAGTTTCACCCCAGACATGGTGCCTGAATCAGCTAAAGAGACGTGCCGCAATTGGTTCTATAAGATAGCATCTATTCGTGAACTTGTTCCACGTCTGTATGTTGAGATGGCCATTCTCAAATCTTACAGCTTTCTTACATCCAGGTATTTTGAGGCACGAAGGCAGGGTAATAGCCATGCCTGGTTACATTTATATTACAAATGACTATGAATATTCAGTTTAACAATTAAGTAACAGATGAATCATGAAGTATTCTTCTGTTGTGTGACCTAATCTTTCAGTGACACAAGCTGAATGATAGAAGAACACAGTAAGGAGTACCAAAGAGATATCTTGCTGTAATTCAGAGTGCTCTGTGGTGGTACAACACTAGCACATTCAGTCAATAAAAACCATCACATCCACCTTTCTTGCTGCTATGCTTATTCCTTTTATACCGACTGACAAAATGGGTCCTACCCCTATTTTCTCCCATTGGCTCACTCATGGCCCCGGTCTCAGTCCTCCATTCCCAATGCCAAGGATCATATTTCCTCAGTTGGCTTAATAACCTGCTCTGAAGATGGAGGCAGCAAGTTTCTTTCAAACATTTGCCACATAGCCCACATTCACATTGCATAATCACCTAAAATTATTGCTACTGAACTGCTGTGAAAGCTCGAAATCATTAAGAATACAGGATTGTGTTTGGGTATTTGCACCTCAGTAAATGCAGCACTCCCTCTCCTTTTAACTAGAAGTCCTACATTGAGATCACTTTGCCTGCTGCAGCTTCTTGGCTGGACTGTACACCTGTGCATGCCATATGAGAAAGATTTTGAGTATGTATTTATTTCTTAAAATCAGATGCATAAAGTGAGATATTTATGTTCAGTCCTCAGCAAAGATGTCAGAATTTTTCAAACTTGATCAGAGTGCAGAGGACTGGTATTTGTTGGTGTCAGTGTGTTGTTAAGCTTTTGTTTCCTGATAAAATAAAATATGTTCCTTGAAAACATGGAAGTCTTAATATATACAATTTGTAGTTAAAGTGCAAAGAGAAATATATTCTTTGAAAAAGTTCAGTATATAAAGCAGGCTGATAAAATTTGTAGTTTGGCTGTTTACATGTTATTTTGAGGCTTAATTTCCTTGGTCAGATTCTGGCTGAAGTGCCAAGTTCATTGTATTAATTAATAACGTGATGATTCTGGATGACTGTGTGCCCTAGCATTTCTTCCAACACTGATGATTTTTTTTATGCTTAAGGTGGGGTGAGACTGAGTGCCTTGGTACTGAGGCCTTTGCTCATTGTACCAGGCCCAGATGGTACAGAAATGGAGCGTTCAATGGACTTACATTTGGCAGGAGGAACCAAAGTACTTGGAGAAAATCTGTCCCAGTGCCACTTTGTCCACCATACATTATCACGTGAACTGACTGAGGACTAAACCCAGGCTTCCATGTGAGAAGCCGTTAGTAACCGCCACAGACTAGGCATAAAGAACACGGATATAACAGTTTCTACTTGTTCTTTATACAGTGTTCACATAATGGGGATGTTCTGTTTGTCTGTAAATTTCATTTCCAAAATTACTCGATGGCTATTGGTAACATTTGGTATTGTGGTTCTACATGAAATATCATTCGTCATTTTAAGTCAGTTTTGTATTAATCCATCAGAATCCCACTTTACATGAAGCTCAAATAAAAGTTCATTATTTCTTGCACAATGAGATGACCATTTTTACCTGTAAGGGAAAAAGGTAAAGCTATCCCTGTAAGAGGCTGTGAAGGCCCTTAGGGTTGTGAGACATCAGAGCTACCACATTTTCACTAAACCATCGGCTCACAGATGGCGGTAAGGTTGTCAGCCTTATGCACCAGCTGCCCTTTATCCCCCCCCCCCCATAAAGATTCCTGCTACTCATTTCTGTTAGAGGCTGAGTTGACCCCAGGGCCATAGTGTGGCTGGAAGGATTAGGTAAATTGAAATAATCCACCTCATTGGGACTTGAACCCATGGCCTTCTGGCTTGTAGCATAGTGCCTCAACCAACTACACTACCATGTGCCCCCCATTTTTACCTGTACGAAGGGGGACCCAAAAATAACCGGAACCGACCTATTGCGCGCGCATGCTTTGTAGTTACGAGTTGTGCTGCTAGATGGTGTTAGCTGGGGGTCTCCCGCGACTGTTAGTGAGCTGGCGTCAGTCTGAGTTAAGTGGTTTGTCTGTGGTGCTCTGTTGTGTGCGTTCCTGTTTCAACCCTTTGGCGATTAGTGAGATGGCCGACCAGAAGGAACAAAGAGTGTGCGTGAAATTTTGCTTTCTGTTAGGGAAAACTGCAG